GGGGTGAGGCGGCAGGACGGGCACTGGCACAAAGCTGATGGGAGAGAAGGAAGAAGAATCCGCTGTAACTTCCTGGGGAAATGGCTAATGGAGAAGGCAAATGGTAAGAAAGGACTTCAGTGTCCAAACTAAGCCAACCACCACCCAGGGCAGGGTGCAGGGCCAAGCCCCTCTGCCAGCTGTTTTCATCACCTTTTCCCGAAACAGAGCCACACTCGTTTCACTCACTCATTTCCGACTGTGACAACAGAACTGAGTACATATGACAAAAAGTCTTATGGCCCACAAAGTCTAAAATATTTATTAACCAGCCCTTCGACAGAAAGTTTGCCGACCACTCTGATCTGGTGAGAGACCATATCAAGATGGAATGAGCTGGTTGATACCTGTTTCCCCGAAAATAAGACAGTGTCTTATATTAATTTTTTCTCCCAAAGTTGCGCTAGGTCTTATTTTCAGGGGATGTCTTATCTTTCCATGCGCTAGGTCTTATTTTCGGAGGATGTCTTATTTTCGGGGAAACCCGGTAGGTTTTATATGGAAGGGCCAAATAAGTTCCTCACGTCTATGGACTTCTAATCTTTGAAAGAAAACTTCCATGCCAGATGCATGTCCATACTGAGTTCTAGCAGAACATGGCAGGGGAGGCGAAAGCATTTTACCTCCCCAACACAAGTAACTATCTAGTGTTCAACTCCCCACGTGAACTAGCAGGGCTGAGAGGGTTAGCCAGTTTCTGTAAGTCGGAGCGTGGGGGCAAGCAGACAGACTGCAGAAACAGGACAGAGGAGGCCACCTCAGAGGACAGTTGCCTTCAAAGTCCAGTGCTCAGGAGGAAGGAGGGGCTGCAGATGGCATCTCAAGGAATTATTAATGTATAGATGCCAACTGCAGTCCCAGGAGTAATGGGGTCACTCGCCAGACAAATGGAAAATGAGAAAAGAAAATCTCAGATCCCCAGACATCGTTTAAAAATATTTTTTTATTGACTTAAGAGAGGAAGGGAGAGGGAGAGAGAGATAGAAACAATGATGAGAGAGAATTACTGGTTGGCTGCCTCTTGCACGCCCCACACCGAGGATCAAACCCACAACCCGGGCATGTGCCCTGACCTGGAATCGAACCTTGATCTCCTCGGTCATAGGTTGATACTCAGCCACTGAGCCATGCTGGCCAGGCGATCCACAAACATTTTTAGAAGTAAAATACGTAAATATGATTAACTAATTTTAATTTTTATACAGTATTAGCTAGGAAGCCAACTTCTCCACAGAACACTCCGCCCGTCCTAACCGTCTAACGCCTGGCACAGAGGTCTTGAAGTAAACAAAAGGCTTGTCTTCTTCATCAGCCTCACTTTGGTATGATATTCTAGAAATCACTTTATTAAATCATTCTATTCAGAGCTTAGTAGTATGAGATTCATCAAACATGAATCAAATCATTCTACAGCTAAGCATAAAATATAATCCCCAAAATATGATTCACATTCTTAAAGAGGACTACAATTATCAACATAAAAGAGCCTCCCTCGGCTAATATAGCACTTTTTAAAAGCGTATAAATTGCAATTTGATGCAATACTCAGCTGCTTCTTTTGCTCAGCAATTAATTCAATTAAAAGTGTGCATATTATGAATCATATTAAATCCAACCAAGATGAAATAATAATTTGCAAATTTATTTGAAACAGATTTTCTTGCTATCAATATTTCAAACTGTAAGAATGTTGTTTTAGCCCTAACCAGTTTGGCTCAGTGAATAGAGCGTCAGCCTATGGACTGAAGGGTTCCAGGTTCAATTCCGGTCAGGGGCATGTACCTTGGTTGCAGGCACATTCCCAGTAGGAGGTGTGAAGGAGGCAGCTGATTGATGTTTCTCTCTCATCGATGTTTCTAACTCTATTCCTCTCCCTACCTCTCTGTAAAAAAATCTATATTTTTTTTAAATGCTGCTTTATAAGAAAACTTCACCTGCTCCTCCCCTTTGGTCTCATAATCATCTTGATACTCTGATCATGCTAATACAGAAATAAGACTGGCTCCATACCTAACCCCTCTATACAAATGATGCCTCATACTAAGGCACATAGAGTAGTACAAAGGCACTGATGAGAAAATGCGTTGGCCAATATCAGAAACAGTGCCGTACACAGCAGTAAACATACCCCTGCATGTGTACACTGTATCCGAGGCACAGACTAACAGACTGGTGATTATCCGCCACTCCCAACACACACACAGAGATCACCTCTGGAAGCACAAGTAGAAATGGTGGAGAGAAGCTGGGGGAACACTGTTCCTTTTTAATCTGCTTTATTTTATGTTGTGTTGGTTGTTATACTGAAAATGTCTTCTTATATTGCTTATGCTTAAAAACAAAAGGCACTGACGCCATCCTTATGGGCACAAGGGACATTACATCCCATAATACCCCAACAGCCTCTCGTAAGAACTCACTGGCGGCTGCGGCCCACACATCACTCGCTCAGCGAGAGGCCGAAGTTACGTCCCCCTGGGGTGAACGTATTATAGGTTTTATGCTACAACCTCACCTTCCTCTCTATCAATTTCCACGCCAAGTGCTTGTGCCTCCTGTTCATTACTGTTCATAGTTCAGTCTGTCAGTTTAATTTTCGGCTGCTTTGTAGGTATCCACAATAATTACAATATTTAATGCTGTTCCTTACGGTCGAGCTAAACAGAGCAGTTTAAATGCATATGTTCTGGCCAGTCTTTGGCTCCCATCCCACCTCCACTCACTCCTCCACCCCCGCACACACTCACCGGCGTTATATAAGGTATCTTTCATCTCACCGGGTTATTTCCCATTACCTCCCACAGTATATCTGATGGCGACATTATTATTGATGCCACAGTAAATAGCTAATATATGTGATAAAAACACATGGACTATCATGAATCAAAATGACATATCCACCCACCACACTCCCTTGACTCATTCTAATCAGATAACAGGTTTTTCTCCATTGTACTGCGAAAGGAGAAGGTAACCTGGGGAAAAAAACACTCATAAAAATAGAGGAAAATCAGAGCAAACGTTCAGGCGATTAAGAACAGAAAGGATGTTCATCTAAAAGATTTGTGTCAAGTGAAATGTGAATTCATCAATTCTATGTGTCATCTTCTTAAGCTCGAGTCCCCTGACACATCAGCTCTGCTTCATGCGAATAAAGCAGCCAAAGATCACCATAAAGCAGTCTTTCTAGAATTTCTGTTGTAGAATAAGTATGAAATTGTTCTCATGTTTTCCTTTTGTTATTACTATTGCTGATGATCTTACCTAAATCGGTATCTTTCTAACTTTGACAGAATTTTTGGTTTACAAAATGAGATAAAATAATTTAATTTTTTCAAATTCCCTATTTTTATTAGAAAGGCATTATTTCTAACCTTTTATTTTTATATATGTTGTTTTGTGTTCCTTAGGGATAGAGTGCATCCTTATTATAAAATAAAATAAGACAAAAATCTGGAAAATACAAAAGAAAAAGGGAAATAATACCTACTTAGAATCTTAGAGGAAGAATAAAATTTAGGATTCGAAGAGAAATTAAAAGTCTAAATTCTGACTACCTCGGTTCATCTCCCAAACTCCAGCGCCTACTAGCTATAGGACATTTAGTAAGCTGCTTGCTAGCCTATCGCTAATAAGTTTCCTTATTAATAATATGAACATAATAATAGTGACCAAACTTCTCAATATTCCCGTAAAAATAAATAGAATAAAACTGTGCCAGGTACATAATAGATGTCTAATAATACATATCAGGAAGGGGAGGCCCAGAAGTTTAAGTGTTTTCTCCAGGATAATTTCACTAGCTAATGGCAGAATTGTCATAGAAATGTGGATCCTCTGAGTTTTTTGTACATTTTAGTTTCTTTTTCCGTTAAGACCACTCTGAAGAAATCACTTTCAAGAGAGAAAGTGAGATACAGAAAGTCCCTCAGATAAGCATGGCCTAGATTTTAAAGGAAAAGAAGAAGCTTGAGGGGGAGATACATGTGCATACACAGAACAGACACACACACACACACACACACACACACATACACCCCACACACCAAAATAAGAAGCAAAAAGGATGGGTGGAGGGTGGGAGCAAGTGACACAGACAGAAAACTTCCAATTAGACTTTTTTATTATGACACAATTCATTAGAGCTTAATTACATTTATTACATAATTAATCAGAAGGTTAGAAGTAAAGGTCATGTTGAATGTTAATTATACATCCTTTAAAGAATTTCAAATATGTTAACAGCAGTACTTTCATAGACTGTCAGTTGTTATAAATTACCTCAAACTCATGGAAAGCAATTTGCCATGATCTTTAAAAATTCAAAATGCATATATTCTTTTACTAATCAATACAGCTGAGAAGTTATCCTAGAAATTAATTTGTGGAAGTGTGAAAAACTGTGCACAAAAGAATGCCCAGTATATTAACGGCATTAGGGGACACTGGGAAATACTTAAGCATTCATTAATGGGGAAATTACTCTAATTCTGTGGTGTATTCATAATGGAAAAAGTGGGATGATACCAATAGTCCCTCAAGACAGATTATTAAATGAAAAACAAAATCAAGGTATACAAGAATTTGTTCCAAATAACCTGTATCTGTGTGTTTTTTTAAAAAAAATAAAATAAAGGATATAGATATATGACTATGTTTACTCAAAAAATACTACAAAGACACTTAACAGTAGTCATCTCTGGGAAAGAATTGAGGTCAGGAGGATAGAGGATGGAGAGGAGTAAAAGTTTAATTGTCTGTCTACTAGTGTGTGCGTGTGTATGTGTGTGTGTGTAACCTATGTAACTTTTTGCTATACACATATAGTATTTTAAACTAAAATAAAATAAGCTAAAATAAGGCAAAGGTTGTGCAGAAGCAGAGCGAGGCCACAGGCTTAGTGGAGGACAGACGAGTTGGAGAACCTGAAGGCAGGCCTCACTGACAGCGGAGGTCCTTACCTGGCACTTGGCACCACAGTATTTGGCCACTCGGCACTGGGAGCATCGCATCAGCTTCTCCTTCCTGTGAACATAAATAACCTCACGTCAGGAAACAAGAACCAAACCTGGGAGAAGGAAGAAAATATATCGATAGAGCAACATATGGGCGCCGGCGTGTTCGGCTCACTCCATCTGGACAGTCCCTTAGGATTTAGGTTTTTGTGTTGATGATCATCTTTCCCCTTCAATGTGAGACAAATGCATAAGAATGTGGGGTGTTTTTTTTTTTTTTAATATACTTCATTGATTTTTTACAGAGAGGAAGAGAGAGGGATAAAGAGTTAGAAACATCAATGAGAGGGAATCATTGATTAGCTGCCTCCTGCACACCCCCTACTGGGGATGTGCCCGCAACCAAGATACATGCCCCTGACTGGAATCGAACCTGGGATCTTTCAGTCCGGAGGCCGACGCTCTATCCACTGAGCCAAAACGGGATTGGCGAATGTTCTTATTTTATTGTGATAGAATATGTTTAACATAAAATTTACCACTGTAACCATTTTTAAATATATACCTCAGTGCATTAAATAGGTAATTCAAGGGCCAAAATGAAGTTAAGCTAGGCCCCACATCAAATGGAGACTTAATTACAGCTTCAGCTCTCCAAAATGGAAGCTTTAACCAGTCAGTGAGGGACCTCCAGAGCAGCAAAGGTTGGTAAGCTTCCTGACTAACCTCCCATTGCTTAGATCAGGGGTGGGGAACGTCTGGCCTGAGGGCCGAATAAGGCCCGAGAAATCAATGGTCCTGCCAGGGCACTCAGGGTGAGTTAATTAAATGTTTGATCCAATTTCACAGGCTAATTTTTAAGCTGATAATTAGGTGTGGCCCGAAAATGATGTTAAAAATATCCAAATGGCCCTTGGCAGAAAAAAGGTGCCCCGCCCCCAGATTAGACCAACCTTGAGCCCTTGAGCAATTATCACTTTTCTCTTTGGGGCAACAATATCTTGGTAAGGTTTCCTGCAGAGAAAAAATTTGGGCAGCAGAGAGGAAAAGAAGTAGCAGAAATAGAGCACCAGACAGTCCTTGAAAATAATTCGGTTGAGAACCGCTAGCAGGGTCGCCTAAGACCATCGGAAAACACAGATATTTACATTTCGATTCATTAACAGTAGCAAAATTACACTTATGAAGTAGCAACGAAAATAATGTTAGGGCTGGGGTCTTTAATACAAAGCAGCAAATGTGGGAAAAATAACACAGATTCCTAACACAGGAAAGTAGAATGGGTGTGGATTCATTTTTCTGTGCTCCCTGTAGCTTTATGTCACATTCCTCACATGGAAAGTACAAAACAAGGAAATGCAATGGTTAATATTTCAGGGGAAATGAACCTATAATTCACAGGCTCCATGCCTTCCTTCCTGGGATAAACACCGGCAATTTAGACCCACAGTGGCACTGAGAGAAAAAGCACAGCCAAGGATGTGAGCCACATTAACCAAGCAAGGCAGACCATCTTACTGAGGCACTTCCCTTCCATGTCCTCAGCCCCCGAATGAGAGCTGCCGCCCTGTGGAGACGGTGCTACCTGATGAGCACACACTCAGGTGTTAATTCGACAAATGTCCGGTGACTGGCCACCTGGGGACATCGCCCTGCAAGGTCCTGGGTAGGTAGCTGGCAGGAAGGCACCACAGTCACTGCTTCACGATGGAGAGGACAGACTATTACCATCACCATCACATGCAGAATGAGCAACCAAAGGTTTAGAGAAATGACACAGACTGTGGGGCCGAGTGCAGAAGAAGGAAAAGTCACTTTCTGATCAAGAGTGAATGGGAGCCGAAACCGGTGTGGCTCAGTGGATAGAGCGTCGGCCTGCAGACTGAAAGGTCCCAGGTTCAATTCCAGTCAAGGGCATGTACCTTGGTTGCCGGCACATCCCCAGTGGGGAGTGTGCAAGAGGCGGCTGATCAATGACTCTCTCTCTCTCATTGATGTTTCTAACTCTATCTCTCTCCTTCCTCTCTGTAGAAAATCAATAAAATATTTTTTTTTTTTAAAGAGTGAATGGGAGAGGATGTAGGGCTGTTCTGGGGACAAAGGATGTCCCCATACCTAAGGAGAAAAAATGGCTTAGCAGTTTAGAGTTCAAAGTCTGCAGCCCAACTGCTATAGTCTGAATGTGTCCCCCAAAATTCACATATGGAATCCCAACCCCCAAAAGTAATAGTATTAGGAGCAGAGGCCTTGTGGGGGGTGCTTAGGTCATGAGGGTGGAACCATCACGACTGATTACTGTTCCTATCAGAGACCCCACAGAGCGCCCTGACTCCTTCCACCTAGGACACCACGAGCAGACACCTGCTATGAAGCAGGAGGAAAGCCATCACCAGAATGTGACCGTGCTGGCCCCGTGATCATGGACTTCTCGGCTTCCAAAGCTGTGAGACATAAACTATTGTTTAATAAGTTACTCGGTCTATGATATTTTATTACAGAAGTCCCAATGAACTGAAACATCAAGGCTAATACTGCCTACCAGAAGTATCCTATGTAACAAAAGGCTACTAGGCAAATCCAACAGCTGAAAAACAGGTCGCTATGACGCGCAATGACCACCAGGGGGCAGACCCTCAATGCAGGAGCGCCCACCGGGGGAGGCCACTCAGCCAGAAGCCAGACTCAAGGCTGGTGAGCACAGTGGCGGAGGCAGGAGCCGCTTCTGCCTCTGTGGCAGTGCTAAAGACACCCCCTCAGGAGTCCTGGACTGCGAGAGGCACAGGCTGGGCTGAGGACACCCCCCCCCCCCAATGTACAGATGCCATGCACCGGGCCTTTAGTAACCTTATAGCAGCTCTGAGCCTCAATTTTCTCCTTCGTAACATCCGGATAAAGCGAAAGCTGTTGGGTGGCAGGAACCTCTCCGCCTCCAGGGCAGCACTAAGAATGTCTGACTGCCAGCTTAGGCCATTAGTCAGACGTCCCCCGAGGGCTCCCAGACTGTGGGAGGGCGCAGGCAAGGCTGAGGGACCCACCCCACAAATTTCATGCTCTGGGCCTATGAGATAATCTATGTAACGTTCCTGCTACCAACGCCAAACAAGGGCTTGAAACTGAATCTACTGAGTACATTTTCAACGTGCTCAAGTTAATTCCATTTTTATGTCATATCTCAAAAGAGCTTCCTATGTGCCTATGCCATGGATGCTAAAAAAGCAAAACCCACATAGGCCACAAGCCTGGTCACCTCCATTCAGACATGTTTTTTTTTTTATTTCAAATTTTGACTCACATCATAAGTGTCTTTCCTGCTCAATCTACATACTCTGAAATTTCTATCACTGCTATTTTTTACTTGATTAGCAAGATTATCTTTAAAATGGTCTGATTCAAGAATCTAAAATCATTCATGAAAGTTTCAAAATGTGGAAATTAAAACCAGAGAAGACCGTTACAACTTCAATAATATTAAAAGGCAATTGTAACTTCTAACATTTTGTTTGCTTTTATGTGAGATAATATCTATTACAAATTAAAGAGAAAACTGACATTTTTACAAGAGCACACATTGAAACCTTCTCCACTATGTAATGATTCTGTACAGAATTGGACATTGTGTGCTGCAGGTCACTCTAATGACTGAAAACGAGGGACTTAGCGGAGCTTTTGGGGCAGCGCACCCGGGTGGACTGAAGAAAGCTGGGATCAAAATGACCTGCTGGAGAGGGATTTGTTCTGGCAACAACATCTGTGTTTCTCAGGAGGAAACCTCTTCAGCCTCGTCTTATAATTCAGCTCTGATAAGTCTAAGAAACATACACAACTTCCCTAAGTCTTCTTGAAATACCAAATTTAAAATTAAAAAAAATAGATATGAGAAAGGAGAAAATAACTGATTTCTTCCCAAAGACTGAAATCAGATACCCTTTAAAAATGTAAGTACTGCTAATGTACAAATCACACAAATCATACAGCATATATAAAAAAAATAAAGGTACCAAGGGCCATATTTCAAAGAAGATATAAGAATATTGCATCAACATTTTCATCAATGTACTATAACCTAAGCCCTCAAAATAGCAAAGATTGCTCACCTTGACTTCAGCTCCAGAAAATACTATGTCACTACTCATGGATTGTCTATCATGCTTTTTCTAGCTAGGAAATGACACTTAACAGCACCATGTTTCTATTTTAGTTTCAACAGTGAGAAAACCAAAGCCAAATTCACTTATTATAATAATCTGTTCATTTCAGAAGCCTGGAAGGATCTTTTCCTGCCTGCTTTTAAAATTTGCTCTTTTATAATTAAGTATAAGACTTTGTTTAACCTTTAGCTATAAATTTCCTCGAGTCCTTTTGAAAGTAGGCAATAATAAAATCTCAAATAACTCATTCTCTCTTTTGGAAAACAAAATGACACTGTTTATAAAGAAAGGTCCCAAAATAAAGAAAACTTAAAAGTCATAGAATTAAATGATAAACCTGTCAATGCACCATAATTAATTATAAATTCTTAACTATTTTTATAAAGTGTATTAGAGGTCTGGTGCATGAAAATTCATGCACTGGAGGAAGGTGGTCCCTCAGTCCGGCCTGCCCCCTCTCACAGTCCAGGAGCCCTCAGGGGCGGCAGGCGACCTGACTATCAGGGGAAGGCAACGCCCCCATCACACCTCTGCTGCTGCCACTGCCAGTAGTGCAAGCCTAGGCCAGCCCAGGTTACCTGAGCCTTCTGAGGCTTGCCTGCGCCTCAGGCCAGCCTTGAGCAGCTGGAAAGCCACCATCGGAGGCTTGCCTGCACCGTGGGCTGGCCCTGGGCGGTTGGGGAGTTGAGGGGACTGAGGGACTCTGGAGGTAGGCATGCGGAGCATCAGGACCCACCTGGAGGCAGACCCGGCTGAGGTGTGCGCCTGCCTCCCCTGTGGATGCCGCCAGCTTTGTGAGAATGTGACGGTCGATTAGCATATTCCCTCTTTATTAGATAGGATGATCATTGCCTAACAGCCAACAAGTGAGAGTTAACAGGGATGAGGACAAGGTGTTTACACCTGTGTGGTCCTACAGGAA